ATCTTAACTGTTTTTTGATAGAGAGAAAAGATCATTGTGGATAAAGTAGTTAGAGGGATATATATGGTTATGGTTCATTGATTTTGCATGCAAATGCAAAAATAGTAAATACCCTTCTTTATTTATGTCTTATCCATACAATTTTGACTGATTCAATCATTGACAGTTGGTATGATTTGAATCTAGAAGTGTCTTTATCTGAAACTTATGGTGATGATATATTTCAGGGATGTAAAAACAAGAATGTTAGTTATTCTGTTAATTATATCCATATCTCCTTTCTAATGACCTGTATTTACTACTTATTCTTTCTTTTAGCTAAATATAGATTTGAACAATTCATTACAAATAAAATAAGAATCATTTATATATATACTTTTTCTATAGGAAATTGAATTTTGCAATAGCCTGTAATTAAAAAACTTCGTATGAATGGTTATTCACATGAAGGATTTTTTTGATGTTAAGGTCCTAGAAGTAGTAAAAAAGAATAAGAATAAGAAGAAGAAATGTTTGTAATGAGATATCAAAATTAAGAGACAAGATTTTTATCTTATCAAAAAAGGGGTTAAAGGTGAACACAGAAATATGGTTTATATGATTGGCACATTTGTGATGCATGCCAAAGTATATGGTTAGTTGATTGTCTCAACAAAGCAAAGCAATGCAGAAAAAAGGACCTGGAATCATAAGCACTTAAGAAATATAAATCCCCTTTAAAAAATGAAGCAAATAATTGATTGGAACATAATTTAGTGAGAACTGAAGACCTTATATCAGTTATATGAATATGATGAAAGATTCACATGTAGCAGGTATATTATACTGAATGAATTAGATTTTTCTTTAAAGCCAATCTTACAATGTAGGTTTAATTTGTGTCACATTTCATATTGGCTTATTGCACAATTACACTGAGGTTATGTAAGAATTTCTCCAAATATAACAAAGTAAACATATCTGCTTACTATAGCTGCATGAAGGTTAATAATGAGCATTTCTTCTTGGGAAGTGAAAAAATCATGCTTTAGATCAAGTCTTACGTAGTTAGACCACATCTTACCCAACACCTCTTATCACATCCATTTAGTCCTGAAAACAAAATCAAGAAAATAAAAAGAGTAAAAAGGACTGTCCAACTTAGTAGGAATCATTTTTGTTAATGGAGACAACAAATCCTTGAAAAACCAAAGGAAAACTAACATATAATGACGTATTTATCCTTTTAAGTATAATAAAGTAACATCTTTGCCATTAAAAAGATAAGAAATTTGAAGTAATTGCCTCTCCATTATTTTATAATGGAAAAAACCTGCTATCTTTGGCACTAATGTCCAATTTCCAGTTCCATGATTGGACACATGGGCAAGTATTTTAGCATCTTCCTCCTGAGTCCAAAGACCCCTTTTCACATTGACCTTGTCACAAGGAGCCAAGGAGGTCTTCCCATTTTTGACAGAAAGATAAGGAGAAATGAATGTGAAGGACTGAATGGATGAATCATGTAATGGTGATACAATATGCACTCAAGGGCCATTCACTTAAAAGTGGTAGTGAAAGAGGCTAATGTTTAAGATACTGAGAGTCAAGAAAAGCATGCAATTTTTTGGCTCCTAAATAAAAAAATTGAAGCCATTTGTATGACATCAGAAACTTAATGCAAGTGCCTTCTTTTCATCTGCTTGTGGTTCCTAAAAGCAATTTTTTATTTCAGGTACATTTTGAATGATATGATTTGTTAAAACTGATTCTGATACCCTCAAATGACATGCAACTGATGATTCTTTTATCTTATGTTTAATTGGTCTCTAGTTTTCTCTGTGCTAAGTCCTAACTCTATATGTGCGTTTAGATCGGTATAACGGTAAGCTTGTTGCTTAGTGATTATAAGTTCATATCCTCGTAACAACCTCCCCGCTTGGAGAGTAAGACTGCATACTACGTTCTCTAAACTCCACTTTTGATTCTTATATAAAAGTAATATACATAAATATTAAACTCATATTTTATTTAGAGAAAAAATGAATAGGGCGAACATATATTAGTTTTATATTTAATTATCATAGATTCTTCAAAAAAAACTAATACAAATGAATGATTGATAATATACGTGTATATTTTAGTTATACAAATAAATTGATGATAAGTACTCATTTCAATATTTGATACCATACTTTTTTTAGGTATCATACTTGATTTCTTCAAAAGTACATCTCCAACATTATTTGACAGAATCATAATGGAGGTCCATAAAACATGAAATGCAATCAGATGTAGTTATGCAATAAAGACTATAGAAATGTAATGTAAATGTATGCATGAATAATATTGTTGTAACTAATATAATACAGATGATAAGAAAACTGACACAACTTTTTGTAGAGAGAGATAGAGAAAAAATCATAGAAGGTAATGATGAGGGTAGTTGACTAGTTGCTTCAGCTTGGCCCTAATTTAGGGTTAACCTCTCAATAAGCAATATGATGAAAATATGTTAATCTATCTCACTCTAGGACAATGCTTAAAGGGTCTTCTCCCTTTTCTGTAAAGATTTTCCACATCAAATCTTAGAGTGCAATTCAAGAAAAAACATCTATTGCTTCTTTAATCCTCATCTACACATAGACATAGACATATATATATATATATATATATATATATATATATATATATATATATATATATATACAACAACTAGTATATTTTCACTTTCCATCACTAACTTACCAAAGTGCATTCATATCAGGATGCAACAGCCACAGTCCTTAGCCTTATTTTTGTTCATAATCTTACCTTCCATTTTCTATGGTAGTTCCAGAATTACTATATCAATCATTAATTCCTAATCAATTGAAATACTTATAATTTCTTTTTTCATATGAATCTTATTTGGGTTTATTGTTAGAGATAGTTACAAATTGGCATTAGTTGCAAAATTGATTAGATGGTAGTTACAATTGTTTTAATATATAACTGTCACTTTACACTCATTTTTTCATCTTCTCTTTCTGGGTTGTGTCATGTATTTTCACATGGTACAAGGATAAATTATTGTATGAACATAGACCAATATGTCTGGACACGCTTGAATGGTCGATGTGTCCATAAGCATTAGTCCTAAACCATGCAAAAATTTCTTTGATATCAATTAGAACTATCACGAATGAAAGGTGTTTTTAACCAATTCCCATTTGTAACTATCTCTAACCACTTCCTATTTAGTTGAATGTTATTTATTATGTTTCTTTATGTCCATAAATCACAAAAAATATTGAAATATGAGAACCATATAATGCAGGTTATGTTGAGGCACATCAAGTTACATTCAGTGTACACAACAAATGCTCCTTTCCAATATGGCCCGCAACTGCACCAAACAATGGCCAACCAATCATAGCAGATGGTGGCTTCTACCTTGGTTCAGGCCAAACCAAGCAAATTGTAGCACCATTGTTATGGAGTGGTAGGTTTTGGGCTAGAACAGGTTGCAAATTTGGTTCAAATTTGAAACCTGCATGTGAAACTGGAGACTGTGATGGAAGATTAACATGCAATGGACTCATAGGTACTCCTCCTACTACACTAGTTGAAATTACACTCCAAGGTGACAAAGGAAAACCAAATTTCTATGATATTAGCATTGTTGATGGATATAACATTCCTATTTCTATAACCCCAAAGACAAGAAATCCTAATTGTACTATTCAAGGTTGCTTTAAGGATCTCAAAAGTTATTGTCCTCTTGAGCTTGAAGTGTTGAATAACAAGGGAGAAGTTGTGGCATGCAAGAGTGCTTGTTTGGCTTTTAACATGGACAGGTTTTGTTGTAGGAATGAATATGGTACCCCAGAGAAGTGCAAAACAAATGTGTATTCAAACATATTTAAGGATGCTTGTCCTAATTATTATAGCTATGCTTTTGATACAGCTTCTCCATTGGTGAGTTGTGTATCCTCAGAGTATATAGTAACATTTTGTCCTTCTGGGTTTGGTGGTAATGGGGACAATGAATCTCAGTAGAATTTGTTTATACTTTATACATGTTTTAATGTATTGGCTTGGCATGATTGGAAGCCATTAATCCTTAAGGTATTGTTTGATATATTGCAATCAAATTGTGTACCTTATATTCATTATTGTATAAGCATCAATAAATATATTTGATTATTTTATTTTAATGACAAATTTCATTTTTTCACCATTTTCTACTAACGAAATTATTACATATGAAAATTTGGAAGAGAAAAATAGGTCTTGAAATAAATAGTAATAATTTCATAAAAAAATAAAAAAATTAAACTTTTATGCAGTGTTATTATTAGTAGTACACCGATTATCATACAAATCAATATATTAGTATATGGTATAAAGGTTTGACCGATGGTTTATTAGTTAAACCACATACCGATGAAATTAAATGTAATTATATTATATATTAACATTAATATTGAAAAATTAATAATAATTTTTTGTATTAAAAATTAATTTAAAATAAAAAATTGATTAGTATAACCGATTTTAACCAATATGATTATATAATCGACATAATTGTATATCGATATGTTATGTATGTGATATATTGATATACGATAGATTTGTCAATAGGAATGTTTGGGTGATAAAGAAATAATGATGTAAATATGGGCCTAATCGATATGAGTCCGGCCCATAACCCGTGTTCATTTATTTGTACAGAACTAGGGTTTCAGTTTCACCTTCGCCGACTAAACTATCTTATAAATTTAGCACCAATTCTTTCATTCTTCACATACCTTCTTCCTTTTCATATTCTCCTCTTCCACCATTTTCTATCTTCAAAATTTATTTTATTTTTCATTTTCACTTTTTATCTTTCTATCTAAGAATCAGGTGATGAGAAAAATAACTGCAACAATATGATTGGATTCATTCCAATGATTCACTCGTATTTAAGTCTCTGATGATTTCTTTTCTTCATTTTTGTATTTTTATTATATTTAATTCTGATAGCACCATAGAGAGATATGATGATTTTTACATTGGTCCGTGTTTCTGAATTTACCGTGACCGATAACTTTTTCCAATTTCTGATCTCTAATTTTAACTAATAATTTGTGTTTTTATTTTTATGTTGCAGTTGCTCAGTGATTTTCTGCCTTTGTTGCAGTATACGCTATTCCGATTCATAATTATGAGCAGATATTTCAATTTTGATGAGAGCTTCTTATTTTATTATTTATGAATTTGAATTATTATTTTATTTAAATATTTGATATATTTGTTGATTAATTTTGACGGGAGATTCAAGATCTAGGATCTCATGCTTTTATTGGAGCAAACGAAATTCATGTTTGCATATTTCATAAGCAACCGTCATAAAGCAATGATTACGGTGTCGACGGCGTCACTGTCAAAGGTGACATCTCCGCCGTGATTTGTCTCATATTCCATTGCCTTGTGGAGCGGCGTCGCCGCCTTTACCATTTGGGACTGGCCATGAGACTAACATTCCACATTTTTGTATATTTTAGTCATTTTAAGTTTTTGCATAACTTGGAAACTAGATTATATTTATTTTATTTAGAAGTTCAATTGTGTTATTTTTTATATTTATTTGTATTTAATATTTTTTTATACATGTATCAATGTGAAAAAATGGAATTATTTGGTAGACATGGATAGTTTATTTTGAAAAATTCAACGAAACTCAATTGAAGTAATTAGAATTTATTATTTTTAAGATATTATTTTTCATTTTGAGTCAATAATGTCGAAATTGACGAATATAGGTCATTCTTATATTCAGGTTGTTATTGCCTTTGTTAAATCAATATTCTTTTAAATATAATGATTTGTTGGTTTATTTGATATTTAATATATTTTTTTCAATTAACACAATTTTCATTGGGTGCTCCTTAGTTTTGCTTTTGGATAAAAGTAAATATTAATAACAATTAATGCATTTTTGAACTTTTTAATAATATAAATAAAAAAGAATTATATCTTCTTCAAGTGTGGTTTAATTTTGATAAAACTTTTAGATTTGGACAATGTATATGATAAAAATGTCTTCGAATCAACATCTAGATTTTGAAATTGTCTTATATAGAAAAGCTTTTGTTTTGTAATATTTTCCGACAACCAACTATTTTTGTTGATGTGGTTTATTCATTATTTTTAAGCTATAATTGTTATTGTGTTTTCTTCATGATCCAGTTCAATTCGACCAGGATACAATGATAATTTCCGGCAAGGTTGAAGAATGTAGTGAAGATATTTTCACTCTGTAAGTAGTTTGGAGTTGGAATAATGTTGCTCTCAAAATATCCATAAACAGTTTTTTCATCAAGGGACAGAATTTCCAATGCGAAGGTGAATGTTTTAACATGTTATCGAAATGAGGGAGTTCAGTGAATAGAATCGAGGTTGTGATCTACACCTTATATCGTTGTATTAATGAACCCAAAACAATTTATCTCGCTTCACAAATCTTCGTTGTAAAAACTTGTATCAACTTCTCGCTGTTCATATGCATGTGGTGCCTGATTTCTACACAGCTTGGACTCCATAAAATAATCATAGTTATAAATTGTTGACAAAAGGTCAATGTAATCTATGGTGAAAACAGAAGTAGAACTCAAGAATTAAGATTCGTAGATTAAGCAGAGAGCTAAAAATAAAAAAGAATCATATTTATGAAGAAACAGTCTTCAGCTTTTATAGACTGAAGAAATATCAACAGCAAAATATGGTTAATCAATTAATAAACCTTATAATTGATTAATGATAATTTGAAATGAATACATAATTGATCAATTGATTACCTATAACTATAATTGATTAACCAGGTAAACATTATCTAACTAATATAGTGAAACCTTTTCTCAATATACTTGCTTCTCATTGCTAGTTTGATGACATGTTTGTTTGTTGTCTACCATAAGATGCATACCCTCTTCCGTTTTTAACTTCAATTTTCAGTTAGTGCATTTAGCCATACAGCTTGACATGCATGTTAGTTGTAATATACTTAACTTCACATGAGCACAAAACAGCTATATCTTGTTTCTTGCTGCACCAATTGAAAGCTACTTGATTTTGATGGGATCATGATTCTATAGCCTATAGTTCCTTTCATGTATCTTAGTAGGCTTTTCACTAAGCTTGTGGAGGTGATTTCATGAACCCGCTTACCAATTCTATAAACATGTCTCAATGATCCTACCATTTGTGTGAACAAATTTTTTCCACATGCTGATTACCTTCTTGACATAGCATTGAACTAGTTTCATCATGGATTGCTACTGAGTTGCAATCCTTCATCTTAAATCTCTGTAGAACATCAATGGTGTATTTGCTTTAGTGCATAAAGATTGATATTTGCCTCTTTTGAATTCAATACCAAGGAGGTAGGATAATTCACTTTGGTTTGTCATCTCAAATTATGACTGCATCTCATACTCGAAGTATAAGATTTGGTTGATATCTCCGCTTGTTATCAAGACTCAAGAGATCATCCACATGATTAGAACATTTGTTGTGTTTGTTCCCTTAACATATACACCATGCTCATTGGTGCATTTTGTAAACCCAAACTTCAATAGGAATGAGTCTATCATTTTATTCCATCTTGAGTCTAGACAATGCCTTATGCGGTTTGTAGACTTGTTCTTCTTTCACTTTGTAGACTTGTTCTTCTTTCACTTTTGCAACAAAATCTGGTGGTTGTGTCACAAACACCTCCTTATCTTCACCATTTGGATTACCTTTATCATACTCATGACCACTCTTTGTTGTAGCCATATGTAGACAATGATCTTCTTCAGAATCATGCGAGCTTTCACCTTGTGCCAACCTAGCTTCCTTTTCCCTTCCTTTTTGCCATATGTTAGACTTGCAATCAGATGTGAAGCGACCATAGTTATTGCATACCTTCTAGATGAGGATCCTTTATCATTGGTTCTCCACTTGTTCTGTCTCATTTATTTATTTCTCTTGCTCCATTGATTGGAGACTTTTCTTTTAAATCTTGCCTAGAGTGCTTGATTACTATTCTTGTCTGAATTCCTCTCTTTCGGCCTCAACTCATGAGCTTCAGGAAAACTTTGCAATTTCGCAACTCTGTATTCTTCAAGATTATTGGACTCTTCTATAGCAACAACTATATGATAATACCTATAAGTCAATATTTTAAGTTATTTTTCCACCACAGATTGATCCTTGATTTCTTTCCTCATAACTCCTCTCCAAGTTGTCCTAGACTTGTTTTGTTTTTGCACTAGCGATTTTCTCAAAATTTGCTCCATCAACACATTGATGAATAAGGAAAATAACTTTGTAATCTTTCTATGTTCTTTGATCTTCAATGACAATTATCTCCAATTTCTTTGATGGTAATTCTTCACCATCTTATAGACTTCTTGAAAACCAAATATTTCTTGCATTTGGTTTCTCCATCAATCATAGTTCTTACCATCAAGGGTGTAATGAATGCTGATAGCAAGGAGAAAGAGAAAAAGGCTAAAGAGGAAAATCAGCAAGTGGACCAGGGTGAATTAGTTACACAATTGGGAAGGGGGCCCGCAAAAAAATGAAAAACACACGTATAACAATATATTGGGTGTGAGGCTAGTATATTAGCTAAGGAGGAAAATCACAGCATGAGGGATGTATTAATTTAGAACTTTCTCTCTCTTTTGGTTCATTCTCTGCTACCATCATTTCATTATCATTTTGTCTACTTTTATGTAATAGAATTATGCAACTCTATGAAGTTGGAATTCTCCTTTTGGTTATCAATATAAAAGAAATATTTCATTCACTGTTGCCTTGTTTGATTAGTTGTTGTTTTGTTTCATTGGTAAACATTACATTGGTGCTTTCATCTTTTCATGGCGGAGAACACACGCCTAAAGGAACTCACGACGGAGGTAGCTCGCTTGAAGGATCTGCCGACAGACCTCAAGAAATTGGCAGAAATGATGGAATCACGTGACAGAGAATTAAAAACATTACTGGAACATTTCACCATTCAAGAAAAAGATCAAAACACTAGATTTGAAACAATTGAATCACATGTTACTTCTTTGCTGAAAAACAATTCAACAACGCTGAGTGGAACTTCGAATCATCCCTTTCAGGTTCGAAACGTAAAACTAGATTTTCCTCGCTTTGATGGATCTGATGTTTTACAATGGATATTCAAGGCCAAACAGTTTTTTAGTTACTATCACACTCTGGATGATCAACGATTAATTATTGCGGCTATTCACCTTGATAAGGACGTTGTTCCTTGGTTTCAAATGCAATTTCGTGCTAATGCTTTTACTTCTTGTATTGCATTCACTAGAGCCCTGGAGTTGGAATATGGTCCTTCGCCTTATGAATGTGCTAGATCTGATTTATTCAAGTTGCATCAGGAAACCACAGTGCATGATTATTATGTAAAATTTACAGCATTGGCTAATAGAGTTCAAGGCGTGACAATGGAAGCATTGCTGGATTGCTTTGTGGGTGGACTAAAAACTGACATTAGAAGAGATGTTATTGCTCAAAATCCTGTTACCTTGTTAAGGTGTGTGTCATTAGCAAAATTGTATGAAGAGAAATACTCTTATAAATACAAGAACTATCAGATCAATTCTAATCGTGGCCAATCTTCTATCCCAACCACAAACCAAAGACTAAACCCATACACAAACCAAACAGTTTCTCAATCACTAAAATCTTCAAGTCTACCACCATTACTCACTAATCCCCCATCTTCTAGGCAAATAAAAAAATGACAGCCGCTGAAATGCAACTCAGACGTGAGAAAGGACTTTGTTTCACTTGTAATGACAAATTTACTCATGCTCATAAATGTCCTAACAAGCAATATCTCTTATTGCAAGTGGAAGATGAGGAAGTTGATACTGAGAATCTCACAGAGAAATTGGAGGAGGCTACTGTGGAGTTGTCATTACAAAATGCACCCCATTTGTCCTATAATGCCTTAAAAGGATCTTCGGGATTGGGCACAATGAGATTTACAGGATTGATTAATGGCATGAAAGTGCATGTTCTGCTTGACAATGGAAGTTCAGACAATTTTTTGCAACCCATGATTGCTCATTGTCTGAAATTACCAATTGAACATATTCCTGAGTTCAAGGTTCTAGTTGGAAATGGAAATGCTCTCACTGTAGAAGGACTTATAAGCAAGCTGGAAGTAAAAATTCAG